CAATTGTGCTTGCAGACTGTCCTCTGGCATGCCAGTCTAATGTGTCAGCCTAACTGTGGGGCCGATTACACGAGGATGTGATTGAGAATTTTTGTGATTAGGCCTGTGGGTCGCGCCAGGTACATTTGGCTTGAGACCTGTAGCTGCTCCAAGCAACGTTAGATTTAAATGAGTGAGAGTTCCTTTGAAAGCCGGTGAAATGGTCTATCAAGTGAGATCAAAAATGTCTCTGATGGTTGGAGTTACGCAACTTTTAGCGCTTGGATATCGGCGAACCACTGCCCGGAATTTAGAATTCAGGGTAGATTTAGTGCACTGGAGTGTACTCGAGAAAATGATATCACAAGGTGCAGGTCCTACAAGTACGACGAATAAGCGTAGATCCAAAGGTGTGCAACAAAATGTCGCTGTGTAGCAGTGAAAATCCACGAGTGCGCGATTAGCAGGCACGTTCGCTAAAGGTGTTCATGTATGCACATCGTGTACAGTTTAGAAAAAGGCTGTGCTAAGACAGCACATTCTTTGAGGACTAGACGAAATATTTGGTACGGACTGGGCGCTTTGCACGAATATCCGTATTAATTCTTTGTGAGCTGTTACGCTATCTATGGGTGGTGAAGGTTGTGGGGAGAGTTGCGACGGCAAAGATGGTAAGTGCAGTGGTTTAATTCCTCTGCTTCAAAATCAGAATGAATGACACTCCTGATGACTTCACTCAGATTCATCATTTTCTATATTTCTCTGCAGTTATTCTTTTCAAGTGTAGTTTGGACATAAATATAATTGAGGCGGCACATTTCATTTTTTATCTCAGTCGATAAGGACTTCACTGATACGGCGTCTTTGCGCTTTTTCACTGCGTATGCGCAGTGTTTTAAGGCACTGAGATGAAAACCTATCTGCACAAATGGAGATGCTATCCAGAGGACAACAGATATCGAAGCAAGAGTCCAAGTAACTGGTCAAATGATCACAGTACTTCGATAAATCAGAGTTGTAAAATATATCATAGTCTTTAGAGGCAACAGTTTCGCGTAGTAGCTCAATTTTTCGGGGAAGACTTTGCAATCTTTGCAGCGAATAATGTTTTTTTTTAAATTCGTTTTGTCATCGATTATGGGAGATAACTTTGTGCTGATATGGCCTGAGCTTCCAAGCGGTGCCTTGATATAAACGGAAATTTTTTTAGGTCGTTAACAAACACTAAGTTTAGGGTTACTTGTAACCTCGTTGCTGACTGCAAGATATTCTTCAGTCCAATATTATTAATAAAACTAGTGTGAAATCGATTGAAGTCATCGGCAAAAGCACATAAAGTAGCTAGATGTTCAGTGACGGTAGTTGTCAAATCGTCAGCGTTTTTTCAGCGTCAGGTGGGATAAATATAGATCATTAGAATGTAGAGTAGAAGAAAATATCCTTTGTCAGTTTCATCGGCTCCCGTTCGTCAAAGGGATCAAGGTGGACATTGCAAGTCGATACCAATGGAACCGATGCATTGGCGCAAGAAGAAACAAGATCCGAGTGTACTCAACAATCGATGTTTGAAACATTCCTCCGACTGCGCACCAAAGACATACACAGGTAGATTGTTACACTCGTTCACTACTCTGGTGAACGGAGTGACTACACAACGGACGCAGTCTCCTTTGTTTAAACAATTTCCAATGGTGACCCCGAGTCGAACTGAAGGAATTGAATGGAAATAAATCCTGCAGTTCACCTCTAACGATACGTCGTGTGAAAATCAAATCCTCGCGATCTCGACGATAAGGTAGAGAGAACAAGTTTAGGTGCTGAAGACGATGTAAGGCAGGTTTCGTAAGTCCAGAATGGATTAAGATCCTCTTTGTTGAACTTTTTCAATCAAGTTGCATTCAAATTCGGAACTAGGATAGACAGCAGTCAGTCCATACTCAATAATCGGATGCACGTGAGAAGTGAACACGAGCCTGAAGATCTCCGGAGTCAAGCGCGAGAAAGATCGTAGGGCGAAAGACAAGAGAATCGACTCCTCAAGGGATCTTCAGACGATTTTAGGTCTGGGGTCACAATGACGCCAAGGTCCCTCTCACGACTAGAGTATGACAGCAAAACCCGCCGATATGATAAACTCCAAATGGTTCGCAGGAACCGATCGGAACGGAGAATTTATCGTGATTTATGGGTAATTGCCACCTGATCGACCAATCATACAGCGAATCGAGCTTTGTTTGTAGTACATCAGTTTCATCCATACAGGAGACTGTCATCCATGGCTTTAAATCATCTGCGTAAATCAAACAATCTGCCTGTAGTACAGACGCCAGGTCATTAATAAAGACATTAAGAAAGTTCAGGGCCAAGAACAGAGCCTTGCGGAACACCGCTGGTCATATTTACGGGGAAGGAAAGAGACTCATTTACTTTCATACGGAAAACGTGGCCATGCAGGAAATCAGTGAGCCAAGAGAAGTTTGCTAAGCAAAATTTCGTGTAGAACCTTGTCAAAAGCTTTACTGAAGTCCACAAATACGACATCTATGGATCTAGCCCACATTTCTCGAGCTACCAGTAGACTGGTGACGCATGAACGCGAACGACGGAACCCATGCTGCGCAGCTGTAATGATCTTGAGGTCCTGGAAATGCAGATTGAGAGCTCGCTTGAGAATCCGCTCCATAACCTTGCAGACAACAGATGTAAGACAGATATGCCGATAAATTATATGATCTTGTCGATCTGTTTTGTATATGGGCTTGACTATGCCCACTGTCCAAGCAAACGGAAGACGCCCATCCTCAATTGAGCGCCGAAATACGTGACAAATAGGAACAACAATATATTGGGCCGCAATCTTGAGGAAAAGATGCAATCCACCAGCTCCCAGAGAAGAATTTGGGTCCAGCTCGCACAAAAGTTGGGATAACATACTAACATGTATGTCCATATCACGAATAACAATCAACTGACGGCACCTCTGTTGAATAGACCGATGAATAATGGCAAGCTAAAAGACTAGCGTTATCAGCATCGTCGTGAAGCACGGTGTTAAGAGCGTGGGAGTACAAGTGCGGTATTCCACTTCCGGCTCTGGTGCTCCTTTTCAAGTATGAGAAAAGCAGCTTTGGTGTAGACTTGGAATGTTCGGCCAGATGACTTTCGTATTGCTGCCGTTTCGTACGTTTTTTTCCAGGTACATTCGTTCCGAACCAATTTATAATATCCATAATCAATTTCCAATCTCGAAAGCCCATAGCGATTTCAAAGTTTGTGTCTTTGGTTCATGAGCGATCGTAATTCTCTGTCAATCCAGGGGACCTATAGAAAAGGGCTTTCGCTTGGATATGAGAACAACTTCATCAATAACGGGCAACATTTCTGAGTAAGCGAGACTCCAAGCGTTATCGACGTATAAGTGCTGGGGAAGACTCCAATCCTGCTCGCCAGCGGCCATCTTCAAGCGGTTTGGATCAGCACGTCAGAAATTCTGACGATAGACTCAGTGGGTGTGAATGCAAAACTGTGTGGTCCAGTGAAAGGAAAGTAGGCAGTGGCCACTCCTCCCGATTGGTGGTAGAAGGTTCAAATCAGAAACATCCGATTGTGCAGGCGAAAGCACAAGATCGAGTCATTGCGGCGTCTGGCTAAGGAGATGCGAGTAGGTGCCGCGACATGTTGGATTAAATTGGTTTCAAGAACGGCTTCCAGCAACGCAGAATCAAAGGAGTCCGGTGCAGCATCACAGTGAAGAAGATCCCAGTCAATATTAAGGGCACTAAAGTCCCTCACTAATAGGCAATCCTTATTTCCACCATGCTTTTTAAAGACTGCAGTAAAAGATCACCAGCATTCAAGGGAGCTCTGAGGAAGACACCGAGAAAGTGCGATCTACATCCATCGTGAATACGACACCAAAGCACTTCGCAGCAGTCATCACTTCCCAAGACAACATCAACTGCATGGACCTTCAGATTTTCCTTCCAGTAGGGTATAACGCCGCTCCCCGACCTCACACCAAGGCGATCAGCTCGTGAGAGACTGTAACCAGGAATATGTACTTCGGGATCTGGGGACGCCGTCAGGTCCAGTTTGTTACACAGACTGCGCACGTTCGCAAACAGTACATGCAATCCAGCTGCTGATTTTAATGTCCGGGAAGAACAAGAACTGGCTTCCAGCGCGTTCTCTGTATCTACCGAACCACGCGAAAATCCCCACTATGCAAATCGGTTTCCCCGTTCGCACGGCGAGTTCTCAATTTATCGACTGCAATCTTTATTTTAACGCGGTCCTCCGGGGATAGATCACGTAAATGGGCTCCCCCTTGAGGCTCGAAGTCCGTCGAAGGATCCGACGGTCTTCATCTTCACTCTGGCATAGTCTTAAGGGGACACATCTTCATGTTTTCTGCCGAGACGAAAAGCAGAAACGATATTGATCCCTGGTTCCCCCCTCATCGAACAGCAGGGAGACCATTCGTTTTAGAAATAATTGGTCATCCGAAATTCTCTCTGCTGCCGTTGCTTTATCCGACTGCGGGGAGTTCATTATGATGAGAAAACGTTCCCGGTTAGGGACTTTGGCGGTCTCGGAGATCGGTGGCTTAAAAGGCGGCTTGTCATTGAGCAGTTTCTCCAAATGGTCGATCCTATGAAGAACTGATTTCAGCCCGCGCTTTGCAGGTGATGCTTTATCTTCTACAGACTTGACTATAGACTTATATTTATGCTAATAGAATCGAACGATAGCCGCTCAAGTATCAAGACCTGCATTTCACAATTAAACAGCTAATGTGCTGCGCATAATGACGAAAACTAATTTTTTGACTTAATCTTTGATTTAGAACTGCGAATGAAGGCATCAATTTCTTTCACGAGGCCAATGCAGGTCAAGCTATTTGCTGTATCAGTGGAATGGAATATTTCAGATGCGACACCCTTCGCAGTGCTTGCTCTCAAGTAACCTACCGTCAGCTGGGTATGGTCAACAGACGTTCAGCCATCAATCAATGCAAGGATCACTTTTGATATGACTATATTTTTACAAAATGAATGGGGGCAAAACGAAGTTTTTAACCCCGTGTACCAAAAGTATGCGACGAAGGAAGCAAAATAGTGAACAATGTGGCACAAGGGTGATGGAAAACGATATAGCAGTTCAGAAGTGAAGTTTTTGGAGTTCCCCAGTTAGATGTCCAACTGGTGCATTTTGGTTCCTAGTTCACGTACGTGGCGCAAAGTTGACAAGTTCAAATAGATTGAAAAGACAACCAGCGGGAAGACTACTGGAAGTGAGGCAAATAATCTGGAAACAAAACAGAAGGGATGGAATGGGAAGTTAGGGTTTGTTTAGCATGTAATTCCGGAACTGCAAATTATCATGATGGGAGACTACATGCGATTGCTGTGAAGTGAAGTGTTTAGACTCATAGGGGTCATTAACCGTTAATATCACTACAATTCTGTTAATGGTTAGCCGACTGTTCCCACTTCAGTGACCTGGTTAGCAAAGCACGGTGAGTGGAGACTAAATGCTCGTTAGACGTTCAGGAAGATGAAATCGGTGTTAATTGAGTGATTGCGCGGGTAGGTGGTGAACAACCGCTTAAAGCACAACTAAGAACGTTGCTTCCCATTCGCTACAGTGTGCTGGTCAGGAAGGTGGAATACAGGTTGCAGCAGTTTATTGGAAATTCAGACCCGATTTCGCTCGCTGCAATCAACGAACCAAATGAGGGGCGCGAAATTTATGCCACAGGAATAACCACTTTCACAGATCCACTGGCTTGAAGCCAGTTACAACGATCGGCTCGAACCGGCAAATGCCGATCATCATATGCACCTGTATCTATGCCCTGCGATATACCATTTTAGGGAACTCATTAGGCACATGCCTTTTACTTGTTAGTAAATGATCTTTCAGTACTAGTGAGTGATTAAAGCGTCGAAGAGGGTCAGGGAATATGCGTGCGAAAAGGACACACTGTGAACACAAGGGAGCATTGACGATATAGCTCCCTCGCAGTTCGCTCTACCCCACGTCACAGTTAACCTTATTCCACAGATAACGTTACCTACCTCAAACAGTCCGGCTAACAGATGATAGCAAACGCGTCACCGGTATTGGTTGTGAAGCTTGTCCCCTAATGCGTCGAGCCATATGCAGAGTAGTTCGCATGAGTGCTAAGGCGGATAAACAATACTCACACTGGCATCCAGTGAGCTCATTTCACCGCTACATGAAGCGGCCTTTATTAGGGTTTGCAAGTACAATCAAAACACGCCAAGTGTCGCACGTTGATAAAAGCAATTCTAGATAGTCCAACTGCCTCCAACTCCACGTTGCCAAGATCCCAATGGCAGGTAGACAGCTTATGCTTCTGCGACATAACGAACTTTGAGTTATAAACACACCAAAGTGCGATACATATCAAGTAGGATATACTGTGCTGGTTGAAAATATTGCTGAACCACGAAATGATTAGAGAAACAATGTACAACACAACGGATAAGTCCCCTGTGCGTCTCCAAGGCTCGGGTTGCTTTTGCCAATCTCCGCCATCTTTGGCGTCGGCTTGAGAGCGGTTCTCCTCTATAGCTGTGAGACTTGGCTTGTTCGTGCAAAGAGTGATGACAGGCTGCTGTTTTTGATCACCACTGCCTTCAGAGCATTGCTGGTGTACGACGGCAACATAAGGTTAGTAATGAAGATGTTCGACAGAGGATTCTCATATAGGACAGATTTGCCGGCCACTGAGCAGCATAATTTCTCTCCGCAGACTTCAGTGGCTTGGGCATGTTCTTCGCATACCTATTCATCGTCTGCTTGCGCGCACAGACGTCAGCCGGAACCAAAAGCAAGTTGGACAACGTATGACTTGGGCCAGGAGCATGAAGGAGCTAACGTCAAATTTAGCCGTGGTCGGGCGCTCTCCGCTCCTTGGCTGGAGTTTGAAGGATCCGGAACACGTATGACTGGAAACACTCGGATATGGCAAGAAACCGTGCCCAACGGCGGACTTGTGGCTCACTATTCCCAATAACACCGGTTCCTTTTTTCCCCTCTATCTTCGTATGTTTATTGTATTTTCCATACGTTGTGGCACTATGCCAATTTTACTATTGGCCGTGTTGAATACACACATATACATATATATATATATATATATATATATATATATATCGTTGTCGGCATCCGGTTTCGGATTTGCCTGTCACTGTCGCCAGCCACAGGGCGCTTGCGCCTACAGAGGGACCATGGATGGCTTGCGCTGCGCCACCCACAGCTCCATCCACACACCCCATATCCAGGGTAAAACCGAAGGAATTAGGCCGGGAGGCATGCGGATGGGAGCCACGTTTCACCAACTGAGCAGACCCACACTTCTTCACAGGCAAACACAAGCACGCTGTATTTGGGGAATCAATCTCACACAAGGCGGTGGCTGGACCGTAGTCCGCTCCACACTGAGTGCATGGAACCACTCTTCGCGCTTAGCACGACCACAAGGATCGTGCACCCAGTCCCCTCCAGCAACAACCAAATGTTTCCTAGAGCCAGTGTGGACGAAGTACTGGGTACTAGACAGGTAGGCACCTTGTCAACATGCACATCAAGCGCATCCAGACCGGGGATGTCAAACAACAGGCAATCACTTGAAATGACATTGTCAAATAGAATATACCTGCTATACATAACTCTTCCCTAAATTAACAAATGAAGTAAGTTGCTTAGCAACGAATCCAGGATAAGTACCAAATGTCTAAACGTTACTCACAAAATGCTAGAAACGCAATAAAGTTAACGAAAATAATCGCAATTAGCGTAAGCAACGTAGCCAGTTAATAAAAGATTAGTCAGGTGGGAAGAACAAACCAAATAAAGTGGAATGAAATTTATCCAACTTAAAAAGACCTAGTTTAAGTGTAACTTGGTTTAACCCAACTGGCACTTAGACCCCTCAAATGTATGGCCTACCGAAAATCCAAATCGCTGGCATACTTCTTATACCGATATCGTCCATGAATAATTCTCCGTATCACAAACTGGCCATGTGGTTAGTCAGGATACGAGCGCCAGTCAGACAAATGATCGTGAACCACACTATCAAAGACACCTTCGAACTGATCGGTCTTGTACAAAGTATGAACACTGCGACAATGTGTTCAATGAATGTTCAATCACTTTTTACTAGCGTCCCATGAAGAGGGACGGTGGAATACTTATGTCATTTTGTGACGAATAGAAAAGTGGACTTGCCGGTATCCGTCGAATATCCAAACGATTTAATTCTGTTATGCACAGAGAATGAGCATTTCTTATTCGAAGGTGTCCTACCGACAAGTGGACGGCGTTGCAATGGAAAGTTCACTCGGTCCCACGCTAGCAGATATTTTCATGTCAACGGTTGAAGCACGCTATGACACACACCGGACCAGATGTGCCTTTACACGAGACACGTTGACGATACGCTAGTGATCGCTCCCAACATCAATGCCGCCCAACCTCCTCTCGAGGTGATGAACAACACACCCGAAAGTTCATCTTAAATGTGAGTTAGAGAAAAACAAAGGTCTACCTTTTCTGGATTTACTTCTGACTAGAACTGAAGACGGCTCGATACGACGTCTATCGAAAAGTTACTTGGACGGGACTTTACGAAAACTTCAGTAGCTTCACAATGGTCCGTACAAATGTTGCATTGTCAAAACGCTGTTCCAACGAGCTCGTAGAATTTGCGGTGGCATATATATAGAGCGAACCCTAGCCCTGATAGCTGGAGTAACTATGTTATGCATCGTTATCACCGCACCACACTTGTGCACGAGGACAAATTAGTACACCAGCGGAGTCTAGCGAGTTTTGTGTTAACAAATAGCTTCTGTACAGACATGTTAACAGCCCCCGGAATGTGAAATGTAGTGTTTCCCCACATGAATGTGCACAACCCGCCGAGAATGCAGCCAACGTTCTAGGGCTACAATATGCCCCAGTTTTTCAATGTGCTCCAAGCATTTGTAACATACCTGCCCCATTCTCCCAGATGCCGCTTTACACACGTCACGTTTAGTTCAGTGACCATTTTGAGGAAGATGCTATCGTTGCGAACCCATAGTTCCCCCGGAATTGACAACATTTCCTCGAAAGCACTGCAGATGGCAGCTACGAGGATAGCAGAACCATTAACGAGACACCTGGACGAACAGCAGGTCCCTAACATGTGGAAACAAGGCATCAGTACGCGATTTTAAAGAGTGGTAGCCGTTCAGAGCCAGCCAACTATCGCTCAGTGACTATCCTTCCGGTGCTCTATAACGTGATGGAATCGACCATAGCTGAGGCTATAATGGGCTACTTTGAAAGGTCTAACATCATAGCACGGAAGCAACACGGATTCCATCAGCACCGGTCATGTACTACCAACCTACTGCTTGCCCGTGACAGTTGGACCGAGATAGCTGGCAGTGGGACCGCATTGATGTCATCTACCTAGACTTTTCCTTAGCATTCGACCGTATAGATCACCGCATCTATCTCCAAAAGCTGCAAGCACACGGAGTTGGAAACCCTGTCCTTGGATGGATCGAAAACCCTCTTTCAGCGGCGCCTTCAGGCTCGAGTTCGAGGTCCATTTTCTGATCCAACTGGTGTGGACTGCGGTGTTCCACAAGGGTGGATGTTGGGGCCGCGGTTATTCCTGTTCTTCATTAACGAGCTTGCGAGCATCATCAAATTTCTTGCTTTTTGCTGATGAAGGGTAATGGACTGACATGAAGATCACGATATGTTGCAACGAGACTCAGACTGCGCTTCTGAATGGTCGAAGCGAAATCTACTTCCGTTTAACACTGACAAGTGCAAAAACGTGCATGTCCGCCACAAGCCCAAGTATGCATATGAGCTTAGGGACGATATGCTAAACACGGCTTCACAAGAGCGAGACATTGGGGTGGTAATCCAAGACGACGGCTGTTCGGCGCAGTCCTTGAAGGCATCCAAAACTGCGAACCAACATGTTGGTCTGTTACGGAGGGCGTTCGGGAGGTTCGATCCCTCCATCTTCCCCCAAATGCTCAATGCGTATGTGAGGCCGCATGCAGAGTACGCAATCCCTGGTTAAAACGCGATCTGGCTGCACTGGAGACCGCATAGCGACGGGTAACGAAAAATGTGAAGGGTTTGTCTCATCTGCAATACCATAGGCGACTGAAAGCCTTGGGAGTGTACAGCGGAAGATATTGCCGTCTACGAGGTGATCTCATCCTGGCGTTCCAGATTTTGATAAACGCCGGTCAGGCTTGCCG